AGCTTCTTTCACCTCGGGGCTCTGGGACCTACTTGCATAGCCGCTTGATTCACAGTCCACACTCACTGAGCTGCCCACACAAGCGCTTGTGTGATCCAGCGATTCAACGCTGGTGGCGCTCGTTGCGCCAGCCATGGCCGCCATGGCCGCCATAGCCCTGGTGCGGGTACTGGCGGTATTTTCTCGTTTTGTTGTTGACCTTGCGGTTCTGCTCGTAGCCTCAGCTGCGCAGAGCACACGAGCACGCCCAAACCCGAGGCCCTTGGATCCTTGGGGTCGGCAAAAGGTTGGTCCATGAATTCAGCACGAAATGCGGCTTTTGCTAGCAATCTCGGCTCAAAAAAACCTTGCATAAGCTGATGCGGCCAGAAAATCGCTCGAGGCCTTTCTATCAAGAATCAAGCTTGGCTAATCAGATGGAACCCAAGGAGCGCGCACAACTCGTCTGACATGAATGCTTGGAGTTATCATACTCTAGCGCATTAGTGCCCGGAACTGTCGACCCAAGTCCAAGAGGCTGTGGTTTGTCCAACCCCCCTGGCTCAACTCGGGCATCCTTGGATTAAACAAATTCTCCCTCGTGCTCACAGACCACCAGGCTCCAGCCGTCTTTATCACATGTTCAGTAGGATTGGGGCCCCTGCAGTGTGTGCAGCAGAGCTTGCCCGTGCTTCGTGCGCGTGATGATGTCCATGTGCTTCTGGCAGTCGGAAATCCGGAAGGCATCTCACTTCTACGTCTGCCGTCTCCAGGCACTTGGCCTCCAGGAACTCCCGGACGAAAAGGTGGAAAGAGATGTCAACCTGAGATACCTCAGCTCGCCTGCTGGCACTGCACCCTCTCTCGACAAATCTCGGGCAAGATGTGGCAGCTGACCAACTCAAAGCAGGGATTTGCGCTGGAGGCTGCCGCCAAAGGCACGTGGAAGAGGCTCTGCGTCGCAGCAAACCCTTCGGTGAACAACGCAGTCAACCACCGAAGCCGTGCCATTTACTCATCTGAGGCCCTGAGCCCTTCTGCATCTGCGCCATTCCCAAAAATGTGCGCAGATCGCTGGCAATCAGAATTGCCAGCATCATCCTCTGCTGAGGAGGACCATGAATCAGAGCCTGCACAGAGCGCATGGTCATGTGGATAAGCTTTAGGCCACCGGGAGCTGCTCAGCAAGGCCTTGTTGACAACCCCGCACGCATTGGGGTCCAAGGCAAACTCTCGGAAGTGGTTCAGCACCATGTTGGTCTTGGCCGCCATGCGATGCTGAATGCTTCGAAGACCAAGGTTAAAAGTCCGGCCCCAAGGTACACAACAGCTTTTCACCGCTTCCATGCAAGAAAAACTTTGGCCCGTTAGCCGGCTGAGAGTGGAACAAGTTCAGCACGGCAGCTCTTGTTGCCATACTCCAGGCAGTGCTGGACGGAGTAGTTCCCAATGGCCTGCCCATGCACATGCCCAAGATTGCCGAAGTGCTATTCGCCAGCAATGTTTGACGTGACCGCTCAGAGCCTGTCACCCTTCAAGCCTGGGGCCCGCGCATGGCGCGTCAGCTCGACAGAGTGGCGCGCAATGTCCTCGCAAGCAGGACAAGCTGCAAAAGCAGCCTAGCACAGCTACATACAGCTTCTGAGACTGTGGATTTGCACATCTCCACGCTCCAGCATCAGTGGATATGCAGAAGCCATTGGAAAGAATTCGATGATTCTTTCCAGCACCCTGCAAGCATACCTGACATGTGCGCTAACACTGCATGGCCAACTGCTTCAGTCGCTGTAGGGCATGCCCGCCTATGCTTCGCAATCTCGCTGGGATTTCGCCACCTGGTCTGCCCCACTCCCCGATTTAGGCGGTCTCATGCTTGCACGCCCGTGAACTCGTGGTCTTGTCAATCAGCCCTGACAAAGGGAAGCATGCTTCTTTTCCTGAAGAGGCAAGGTTTGCTACAGCAATGAACCACGAAGGCAAACCGCCAGAGCTTCGTGCTTGCTTTGCCGCTCAGAGATTCGAAGGTGCTTTTTAAACCAGGACACTTACGCTTGGTCTTGCGTGGTAATTTTGTGGCAGCAAGAACTACAACCCCAAAAAGGCTGTAAAGAGTCTCTTGTTGCATTTGGACAATCTGAAATCCTGCCTCATCAGCTCGTCAACCACCTGCGCTCCAGAGCTGTTTTTTTCGTCCGAAACCGCACTCATGCAAGGTCTCAAATAGCTGAGCGCTTGACGAAGTCCAAGCGCTCTGACAGCAAACAGCGAATGGCTTGCTGAAGCACGAAGTTGCCATGAGGCGATTGGGCAACCTCCACCAGCCGAAAACACTCAACGTGTCAACGCCAATTACCAGCCGTGCTACGAAGAAGTGGGGCGTTAAACTCACCTTACTCGGAACACTCATTGAGAATTCATATCATCTGTTCTGGACGCTAGGTTTGGAAAGACTACAAATCATTACAGATCAGTGAAGGACTTGCATCCCATGCAGACGCTGCTTCCAGCTGAAACCGAGCAATGCATGAAATTGCCCGTTCGGCTGCGGATTGAGGTCTGGCAAGAATTCTGCAAGATGTTCAAGCTGCTTTATACCCGTGCTTCACCATGTACGCGCTGATTTCAACAAGGTGGGGACAAAGCAAAGGTACTTGCGTACCGTTTTCCAGAATCACACAGGCATTGTCAACTACAAGGACAGAAATACTTGTACTTGGGCTGAAACCTTGCGGATGCTGCAGAAAACAATGAACCAACAAAGCCTTGTCCAACAATATGTGCTATATATATAGAGAGAGAGAGAGAAAGATAGATACAGATAGACATATAGATATACATATACGCATACATCCATGTGTACACCATAATTCTAGACTAGTTCCCTCCCGATTTGAGATAGCCCGACCCCTTGTACTGCATGTGCCACTCATCTGCCACAGTCAGTTGAGCTTGGGCCGTGGCTTCGGCCACGTGGCCACGGAGCTGGCGCAGGATCTCCTCCTGCTCCTGGTACGTGCCGTACCGCAGCATCTGCTGCAGCTCGCGGCAGCCGGCGCTGTCGTTTGCTTTTTTCATTACCTCACTCCCCTCCCCCCCGACTCCGCATATGTGCATGTCCACAGTGCAAAAGGCCATGATGAGGTGACGGGAGCCTCCAGCCGGATGCCGGTGGGCG